GCGTCTCCAGCCTCGGGGTGCTGCGGCCCAGGCTCAGCTCGGTTCTCTCCAGCTTTGCCCGTCTCGCAGGTGCAGAGCAGGGGCGCGCTTATGTTAGGTCATCTCCCCACAACTCCCCTGGAAGAAAATGCCACCCCCATCCCTTTCACTCTCTGCTATACATGGTGCCACTATGCGCTGCCCTGTGGGTTGTGGGGCTCGCCCCCTCCGCACCCTAGTGCCCGCCCTCCCCAGTGCAGCCCAAGGAGGGGGCGCAGCTCACTTTGGGAAGCAGGTGGCTGTTAGGAGTGAACAAAAAGTGGGGAGGAGCCACTTGGCAGCCTTCATAGGAATCCTTTTCTGATTACAGCCACAGCAAACAATGGGCTGTTGACTGAGCTCTTCTGAGCTGTTAGAGAAGGAAATTCTAATCTACCCACCCGCAAAGGGTGAGTGAGCAGGGCCACTAACACAGCTCCTGTGGCCGGGCCTAGCCTTCAGGGGCAGTCAGAGGGGACAGTCAGTTCTCTCTGTCTCCTCTCCATGATCCCTAGCAAAAGCGGCCCCATCCCACTGCTGCCTTCCACATCCCTCTTACTCCAACCACTGGCTTTTCTCAAGCCAGGGGGGCCCCCCTAGGTTGCCCTCGGAGCCCTCCCTCTCCCACGCCTACCCAGGGGTTACATGGAGCTCCTGAATGGATGAGTTGTTGCCACTGAGAAGTCTAGGGACATCAGGGCAGCAGAGGCACTACAAATCCCAGAAGCCCCCGCACCCCCAGCTCTCCACTTCCTCCTGTTAATAAAGGCTGCTACTCAAATGCATCATCAGAACGAGTTTGGCAAATGATTTTAATATACAAAACAACAAATATAGATTCACAGCATTTAAAAAATCAAATAACCTTGTAAATATTTTTTTTTTTTTTACAAAAAAACTTCAACAAAAATACATATCAAGTTACATCAGTCTTGTACATCATACTTCGGCTGCCAACAGCGAATTCCTCAGTTCAGAAGTCCCATCCTTTGACCTATATAGATGACACATCATCTTGAAGTTAACGAGCTAAAATGTTGTCCAAAGTCTTGCAAAGTAAGTTAGCAAGTCATATACAACGGACACTAATATTTACAAAAAAGATTAGAAAGGTTAAAAGTATTTTCTAAATATAAAACGTCAGTGCCTGTGAGATAACTAAAGGCAACAATGTAAAGTATGTTGTAGGTAAGTAACCTTACATCAAATATTTAAGCTTTTGCTTTTTTTTTTTTTTTATCAGTCATGTTCCACTTATTTTTCCAAAGCCTTCTGAAATCCACTTTCATTGCATCCTGAAAACAACAATATCAGCCAAGGGAAACTTTAATAAACTGATTTGCAGATTAGGTTATTATGGAAAAGCTGGGTCTGCTAGTAAGTTTCACCTAGTTGACTTGGGTCCCGCATTTCTGGCCTGTGAGCTGGTGAAAGAACATTTATTCCTAGTTCTTGACACTGTCGTTTGAGGGACACTTCTAACTTTCTTCTCTCCCTGACAAGTAATAGAGCAGAAATACTCCCCCGAACTCCAGGTCATTACGCTGTTCCATTCTGGCTAGGACACCAAGTTGATTTGTATGAAGGAGTATCAGCAATTTGGCTTGCAGAGATTTCCACCTGGTAAAACGCTGGTTCAGCTGGCTTTTACAAAATACTTCTATTGTGAATCAAATTTTGAATTAAATGCACTTTTGCTTTATGTCTAGGTAACAGTCATGTAGGATGGGGGGATTTTCTGAATAAGAATGGCATCGGTTTTCATCTAGGCTAGGTATAAAAAAGGCACGATATTCAGAAATAGTGTTTGATGGTGAAATGTTTTCAACTACAAAATCAGATCTACAGTGGGAAACAAAAATCAGATCGAATGAAAAGCAGCCACGTGGCTGGTATCCCAGGGAAGCTCTGGCGCACTACTGCTGCCCTCTTCGCAGTCTGCAGGCCAAAGACAAAGAAAGCTACTGCTCCAGGATTCTGCAAACATTCCATTTTATGATTTTATAATTGCTTATAATCTACTGCAGGGTTTTTATATGTTTTAGGCATGATCACAATTGAAAAGGCTGCTTTTGATCCACGGCTACTTCAACCGTCTGCTAACAAAGTCGACAAATTTTCAAACATGAAGAACGGAATAGGTGAAATTCCTCAAAATGTTATGTCATCTTTTTTTTTTTTTTTTGGCCCATCTATAATATTATGTCATGTAAGGTTAAAAAAAGAGAAAGGCAGAGAGACTGGAGACAGCAAGATTCCCAGTGAAATTCATACACTGTCCATGGGGGAGGCTCTCTGTTCCCTTTTTTTCCAAGTGGAACACGTGACTCAAATCAGAAGGAAGTTTGGCAAACGGAAAATGAGAATACTCGAGCCTTCTATTCTTTGAAGAACTCAGGCAGGTGGTAATAAAACCCAAGCCAGACATGCGGATTCTCAAGAAGACAAAGGATGTTCTAGCCTTTTAAAAATGTTAGCGGTTTTCAGAATCACCGGAACGGCGAAGCAGGATCTACCCAGGAAAGATCTTTCATCGAGTGACCCTCATACTGTATAAAACTGACCGGGGCAATGAACGGAACCTGATTTAACAAAAACATGTCCTGGTATTCATGAGTCTCTGTTAGGAAGTCCATGGAGGTAGGTGGGAACCGGAAGTCAGGGCTCAGCTGGAAAATAAATTAGGACTCGCCACAAAATGCAAAGCATTTCTTCATTACCCATGAATAAATATTAGGAAATGGAAGCCCTAAGGATGACTCTTAAATTACTGAATCCTCACTGAAAATGTAACATCAGCAAATGATTCTCTTTACTTCCTTAAACGAATTCTCTTATATTACATTTAAAATAATTTGTTCAAAATTGCTGTACATACAAAAACAACCCTAGCAGAGACCCCTACAGTTATTGCTAGGTGTGCAGGAAAAACATATTAAGTGTAGTTTCCAAAATATATCATTGTGTTTTGTTAGTAAGAAGGTCAGTTCTATAAACACAACTAAAGTTGGAATGTCTGTTCAAGAAGGAAACGCACGCCCCCACATGCCACAGGACCTCTCCAGAAGCTCCTTCCTGCAGCCACTTCAGTCTCAGGACACGCTGCGCGGCATGATGGTCCACAGAAGCAACTCAGGGGCTGCCAGCCACAGGGCACCTGAACCCTTAGCAATGCTGCCCATAAGCACGCGTGCCAAGGTGGCTCAGAACGGACATCAGCCGTCACAGAATGTTCCAAGGCTTCACCCGAGAGGACAAAGGTTATGTTTTCTTGATTCATGATGTCACCCCTCAGGAATGGCTCTGGATGTGGGGGGCTTCAGGGGAGAAGGGAGGTGCCCACACCTGCAGACTGAAGAATACACCTTTTTTTTTGCCTTCCCGGCTTTTTTTTTTTTCAACCTTGGGCTTTTTGGAAAAAAACTTTTGCGGGGTTTGCTTCCAAAATTGGGTTTTTCAATTAGAATTCCTTTACCGTTTTCCCCCGTTTTTTCTTTTCCGGGGCCTTGGGGGGTTTGAAGGGGCTTTTTTGTTGCGGGGCTTGCTTTTTTTGGCCTTGTTTAAAGTTTTTTTCTTAAAATTTTCCACCCCGGCCAAGGAAAGGGGGTTGTTTTTTTGCGGTTTTCGGGGGGCTTGGCCTTTGTTAATAAAGACTGCTATCTCAGAGCCAAGATATTTTGTGAAGGTCTCTTTTACAAAGAACAAGTCCTCAGAAGCCTGATGACATGCTCAGGTGACACAGTTATGCCCTACTGTTTGGCTTTATGGGATAAAGGCAGCTTCTGATTCCCAAGAAGCAGGACTGCTTTGCCTGTCTTTGCGATTTCACTGGTAACGACGATGTCGGGAGCAGTGCGGCTTTTTGCGAATGCCTTCTGACCAGTGCATTTTCATATTCACTGTATCATAAATACTAGAGTAAATGAGCTTTTTATATTGCAAACAGTTGTTTGAATGGCAGTTTTTTTTTCTTTTTTTTTTTTGGAGACATAGTCTTGCTCCATCCCCTAGGTTGGAATGCAATGGTGCGATCTCAGCTCACTGCAACCTCTGCCTCCTGGGTTCAAAAGATTCTCCTACCTCAGTCTCCCCAGTAGCTGGGATTACAGGCATGCGCCACCATGCCCAGCTAATTTTTGTATTATTAGTAGAGACTGGGCTTTGCAATGTTGGCCAGGCTGGTCTTGAACTCCTGACCTCAGGTGATCCACCTGCCTTGGCCTCCCAAAGTGCTGAGATTACAGGCATGAGCCACCGTGCCCAGCCTTGAATAGCAGTTTCTTAGGTTACAGTATGTGGGCAAGACGTGATTTCTGCTCGGAGTTACTCAAGATGTGCGGGCAGGAGGGAACCGACTTCGGGACAAAGCCAGTGTGCAGGAGGATTTCTCCCTCCTTGCCTGGAAAGCAGTGGATTCTTGAGGATGCGTAAGTTGCTCTGCACTGAGGACTGCGAGGAAGGTGACAGATGCATCTTCTTTCTCTCCCCTTTGCTTGCAGGAAGAGGAACCTTGCAGGATGACGTCTGTACTACCATTTAGCATCTGTGTGGACAATGCCAGGGAACACCGTGGTCAGCTCCACGGCAGCTGTACGTCCCCCCGTGTTACAGAAGAGAGTAAGAGCTCAATTTCTAAGTGTGACCAGACATGTGCAGCATTGTGTCAACCCTGTCTTGACGACATCCTTGAAAATCAAACGCCGAAGCGATCCTCTAACCTCGTCACCCCGTAGGAGCTGCAAAGCCCTGGATGCTGTGTTTGGACCAGCGGCAGCACTTGCTCACCATCAGCGGGGGTGGCTTCAGCTACTGCCTCACCACTCACTGTAGAGCACAGTACCGGGTCCCACATCTGGGCCATCTCCTAGTGGGTCACGGGTGTTTCTGTATAGTTTTGATAAAGCTTTGTGTCATGACCATCTCCTCCCTTCCACAAAGGCAGCTGGGTCTCCAAAGACTGAAGGTGATTCCAAGACCTTTTCTCCTTCATTGATCCCAAAAAGGAAGTTTTTATCACTGGGTCCAAGAAACCTTCCCTGGATTGAAGCACACAAGAAACAAAGACAGTTCTCCTCTTGACACCCAGCTCCGTGGAAGCACAGCCTCCTGTTTTCATTTCCGGAAGGGGGTGAGCCTGTTGAAGGTGTGCCAGAAGAGCGAGGGCTTCCTTTTGGGTTCCGCCAGGCCAAATACCTGCTGCTGGGGGACGCTTGTGGGCATAGTGATGTGGCGCTGGTGGATGGGGTGCAGGCTCTGGTGCGGTGGGGCCACGGGGCACCTGTTGTAGCCTGACTCGGGAGGGGAGAGAGATGGAACAGGGACTGAGGGTCACTTGTTAACCAAAAAGGAAAAAAATGAAAATGCTGAGACTCCAAGTCCAAGTTCTCAGCTAATTCTTTTTTTTTTTTTTTTTTTTTAGACAGGGTCTCACTCTGTCGCCCAGGCTGGAGTGCAGTGGTGTGAGCTTGGATCACTGCAATCTCTACCTCCCAGGCTCAAGCGATCCTCCCACCTCAGCCTCCTAAGTAGCTGCACCTACAGGTGTGTGCCACCATGCCCAGCTAATTTTTGTATTTTTTTGTAGAGAGCTAATTCCTAATTCACATTAACCAAAAAGAAGGTCCAGTAGCTATGCTTGCTATGTTCAGGTACTCCGTGTGGAGCTTGACACAGTCTCTGTCACTGAAATCTCCCAAAAAGCCTCCAAGGAGGGTATTATGACAACAACTAGACAGGGAAAGAAACTGAATGCCAGGACACGCAGTGGGGAGTGGCGGAATCCGAGCCAGACTGACGGTCACGGTGAATAGCAGTAAAATGCTCTAAATGGAAGTCTGGAGCTCGTGCTGCCTCGGCCCAAATTCTTCTGTGCCATTTACCGGCTGGGATTACTGGGGAAATTATTTGATTTCTCTACCCCTTGGTTCCCCAATCCCTAAAATGGGGATTACAGTACTATGGGGTTGCTATGGGAATTAAATGAATTAATAGAAGTAAAGTGCTTAGAACTGTGCCCCCAATACGTAATCACTCTAATCAAAACTTCACTGGCCTAGGTATTTTTCATCTGTGCAGAGGTAATTTAGGTTTATTAAGATTAGCGATCAGATCAAAAGGTAACTGTGTAAGTCAGCACGGCACGAAGAGGGTGGGCTCTGAAAGCAGGAAGGCCTTGGCTCAGAACCCACCCCTGCCCCTGACCTGACAGAAGGCTCTCCCTATCTCCCGAGGTGGCAGGAAGGAAGAAATCAGATAACCCAGGCACCGCGTCCCACCCGGTGGCCACCCGTGAGTGTCAGCAGTCCTTCCGTTCTGAGGAGCCCGGCTGCGGGGTGAGTGACTCTCAGAAGATACGGACAGAAAACAATGTATTCTGACAAACTGATTTACTAGTAACCTGACATTAGAAGTGGAGATTTTAAAAAAGTAATAACATGGGTTTTTCTGCTTTAAAGATACTTGTAACTTAGTGGGGAAAATAAATTCTGCATTTGCACAGAGAAAGCAGTGGAGTGCTCAGTGTGGTTTGGGGAAGGAGCTCCTCCTGGCCTTTCAGTCAGTGGCCTGCTGCAGTCCTGGGATTCACTGGTCCTTGCTTTTGCATTTGCAGTCAGGAAAATATGAACAGAGATAAATTTCATAGGCTAAATCCCTTTTACAGTAGAAAGGTGACTGGAATAAAGTTTCTAAGAATGCAGTGCATATTTTTTGGGAAAAAATCTTATTATTTGAATTCCTGCTGGGCCAGATATCTGCACTACTGGCAGCGTGGACAGATCTTAGTTCATCAGAGCCCTGAGTACGCAGCTTGGGCATTTTTGAATAGCTGCCCCGGGGATTCTAATGTGCGTGGAGGTTAGGGGATCACTGCCCTAAATCAGCTCATGTGTCTTTTTTTGTTGAGATGGAATCTGGCTCCGTCACCCAGGCTGGAGTGCAGTGGCCGGATCTCAGCTCACTACAAGCTCCGCCTCCCAGGTTTACGCCATTCTCCTGCCTCAATCTTCCGAGTAGCTGGGACTATAGGCGCCCGTCACCTCACCCGGCTAGATTTTTGTATTTCTTAGTAGAGACGGGGTTTCACTGGGTTAGCCAGGATGGTCTTGATCTCCTGACCTCATGATCCGCCCGTCTCGGCCTCCCAAAGTGCTGGGATTACAGGCTTGAGCCACCACGCCCGGCCCTCATGTGTCTTTTTTGGTCTAACTCCTTGCCTGATGTACCGAGCCTTTACATCTTTTTCTTACTTAAACTAGACTATATCCAGCCTACAGCTGATAAGCAGTTTGGGGTTTGAGATTTTGTCCTCTCATGCCTAAAAGAGGCACGAGGCCTTGGTTTGCCTGAGACTGGTGATGTGCGTGACCCGGTGGCTAACACCATCAGCACTTGGGGGAGGGGAGCGGAGGGGCCGCCGGCGGGCAAGGAGGTCTGCCACGCTCTGGCAGAACCTCTGAAGGTTTCCTACGCCCACATCCCAATGGGAGCAAACACTGATGCACATTCAAAACCAAACACAGGCCACCTTCACCTGCCCCCACTTCTGGACCTGCCCTTGAGTTCTAACTTCTACTGTTCTCCTTACTCCAAGCTGGTCACAGGCTGACAACTTGGGGTATGCTCCCCATTTTCAGGAGAATACTGATAAGCATTAAGGAGACAAAGCCTTCTCCATAACTTACCTTTCGACTTTCCATGTCCTGTCTTTTGAGCATTTAACATGGCAAGTTTCTTCTGGTTTTCTGAAATTTCCATTCCTGCATTTAGAAATAAATGCGACATACATTCAGAACATGTGGACATGTTTCAGAGCAAAACTTGCATCACAGCCCATATCACCATTGACGTTACCACCATAACCTGAGACCAAGAACCTTAATCCTCAAAGGACCCGGACAGGTTGAAGACCAGCAAAAGGGAAGTCACAAGGATTATCGCCAAGGTGGCCATGTGGTTGTCCTGCAAACCCGGAGAGCTTGGAGAGTGAAACGGGGTGGTGCCCACGAGAATGCAGGATGTCTGTGTGAAGCCCGATGCTCCTGGGCAAATGTTCACACAGGGTCATCCCAATTATAACCTAAAGGATGAGGCCGCAGAAGGAGAGCACAGAGCAAAGAGTCCCAGGGCCTGTTCACCCACACGCTACGAGAGCTTTGCACGCTAGCAGTTACACCCTGAACAAAGGTAGCATGTGAGTAGCAGGAACCGGATTCCGTACCCCAGCTGTGCGCAGTGTGTGCCCTGCGCGTTCCCTCACTGTCAAGTCCAGTAGCACAGTCACAGTGTACGTGTGCAGTGCGCGAACTGCGTGAAACAAGAGTCACCGGAAAGAAGACGAGGCAACCCTTGGCTTCGCAGGATGTGGGGAAGGAGAAGGAAGGACAGAGCTGAATCGCCAGGGCTGGGTGCTGGGGCCCTGCCTTCTCCCGAGGGAAGCCTTCCTCCTGGAGGCAGGTGCTCGCTCCAGCTTGGCAGAGGTGACCCAGGCCCTGCGTCTGCTAGCTCGCACTGCCTGGCTCACTCCTGAGGTTCCCTCTCTACCTCTGCCCACTCTGCTCCCCTGGCCCTGACTCCTTCACATGCCCAGTATCTGTCCCAGAATGTCCTGACGTCGGGCTCAGGCTCTGTTTGCTGGCCACTGGGCTGTCCCTGCCTCCAAGGCCCTTCGTGTCCATTCTCTCTGACCTACTACATAAAGTGTCTACCCACACACATGCATGAAGCATGAGGGCTGCCAAAACATTCCAGGCAAGGAATGCGTCCAGTTTTATCACACATGCGCCAGTTTCCAGACTTACTGGCTCAGGAGTGCCTCAGTCATACACTCGCGTCCTCTGACCACTGGCCATGGGGAGCATCACACAGCAAAGGGCATCACGAGGCCCCTCCTTTCCTTTCTTTTGAGAGACACTGTTGAAAGGGTGTAGGATGCCCCCACCCCCTGCCCCCCGGCAAATAGTGCCGTCTTCAGAACCCAAACACTCTGACTTACAGATGACTTCAGGGCCCGCACTAGACAACATCATATGACGAGTAAAACTAAGATTTTGTGGCTCTGTCGTTTTGCATTTTAATAACTGTCATCTTTGAATGAATTCTGGGCACGAGAGTGATTAACCCTATTCCAATGGGGCCCCAGAGTCTGCACCAATAATCTGTGGCTGTTGCTGGGAATCAGATTTCCTTTTAGTCTAAAGGACACCCCGACACTTGGTGTAAGGGGCTGCCTGTGATGTGGGGAGCTCTGTATCTTAGAGTGGCCCAAATCCAGGCCAACGTCCACCCACTGAGTGTTTCCAGGGAGATCCCTGCTTCCGCTTTAGCCTGACCAACTTGTAAATCCCTCCAACTCTACTGCAGAATCTCACAAAACCTCCTGTGGGTGAGACCAAATTCCGTAGCCAAGCTTAGAGCCAGTGGCTGGGGAGGACAGAAAAAGCACTTCCTGGTTTTCAGTTCTGTCCTCATGGCAGTGGGCAAGGATGGGGAGGGGGGTACGCTGGCTCCCCTCCACCCTGGACCACGACTTTTGAGGGCTGGGCTCACTTGGGCTGCAGAGATAAATATCCTTCACTGTGGCCCCTGACTTCCATGCAACAGATTGTGCTCAAAACCCTAAAGAGTTTGGGAGGCAATGAAACAGGGGCTCAGAGACTATGGGTGCTGCCATCATTAATGCCAGGCATGGCAGCTTCGTTCTCAGGGGCCACACAGCACCACCAGGTCAGCAGAAGCTGGGAAGACAAACCAAAGACGTACGAATGTAACACTGGGTGTGAAGGACCATCGCCTTAACTGCAATGGACGACGCGGTGTTCTGAGTTTCATAGGGAGAGATGGGCAGCATGTGGGCAGGCTGCTGGGTGTGGATCAACTGTGGCAGTGAGGCACCCTGAAGGTACTGCACGGGCACAGCCAAAGGGGAGGCCTCCAGCATCACGAGATGATACTTTTTTTTTTTTTTGAGACGGAGTCGCGCTCTGTCGCCCAGGCTGCAGTGCAGGTGCACAATCTTGGCTCACTGCAAGCTCCACCTCCTGGCTTCACACCATTCTCCTGCCTCAGCCTCCCGAGTAGCTGGGACTACAGGTGCCCACCACCATGCCTGGCTAATTTTTTCTATTTTTAGTAGAGATGGTGTTTCACTGTGTTAGCTAGGATGGTCTCCATCTCCTGACCTTGTGATCCGCCTGCCTCGGCCTCCCAAAGTGCTGGGATTACAGGCATGAGCCACAGTGCCCGGCCCACATGATACTTCTGATACCCTGGGTGATGGTCACCATAGTGGGGTTCCATCTCTGGGGTTACGCTGAGCTGGTTTTATTATTTATTCTTCTACCCTGCATGTGGCATCCAAAGTGCTGGATTTAAATGTTATGTGGCCACAGGGCAAGAGTGGGCCAGTTCCATAAGCCTCAATTTTCTCATCTGTAAATTGGGTATAACAGTAACCACCTCATAGGGATTCAATGAGACAATCTCTATAAATGGGCCACGGAATGTCTGGCACAAGGTAAATACTGAACAAATGTTAGTTGTAGTAACGACATCTGACATGGTCTGTCTTATAAGTACATTCAGAAGTATTTAGGGTTTGCAGATCCCTCGTCTGTTCCCCGTGGTGGGATCCAGCTCTGAGGGAGAAGGCTGGGCAGAGCGGGCCCACGGTGGTGGAGAATGAAGCTATTACAGCAAGCAGAGGCAAAGGTGCCTGCAGGGCCAAGGGCTGCTCACCCATCTCCTGGTCCTCCTGCACCCGCCTCCTTTCGTCTGCACAGGCCTGCAGCCACCTTGCCTTGTCTTCTTGTTTTTTGGCACAAAACAAATAAACCTCGTCTGTGGTCCTACTGACGAGCTTGAAGGCATTTTTCACGCTGAGGTTACAGTCCTTGTCGCGCCCATCTCCCAGGTCCACAAGCTCCATCTCATCCATGTCCAGCCGGCCCTTGTAGTACAGCATGTCCCTGCGCAGCAGGTCCTTCTTGCAGGACACCAGCTGGTGGTCAAACAGGAAGAACATCCGCTGCTGGCTTTTGCCTTGCTTAGTGATTTTGGTCAGTTCCCCAGAATGAATCAATTCTGAGCTTCGGTCTAAGATATCCAGTCCCTGGAAGGATGAAAACACATCTTAAGATCTTCCAATTCTAGCACAGCTGTAGTCCTAGCTACTTAGGAAGCCAAGGTGGGAGGATAGTTTGAGACCAGCCTGGGCAACACAGCAAGACCCCATCTCTACATAAAAATTTAAAAATTAGCCAGGCATGGTGGCACACACCTGTAGTCCTAGCTACTTAGGAGGCTGAGGCAGGAGGATCCCCTGAGCCCAGGAATTTGAGGCTGTAGTGAGTGGTGATCACATCAGTACACTCCAGCCTGAGGGGCAGAGCAAGACCCTTCTCTCTAGGAAAACAAAAAACAAAAAACAAAAAAAATTCCCAATTTGGATTCCTTGAGGTGTTAGGATACGGAAGAGACTCCTAACAGAGAATCTTTCTCAGCCTTTCTAGTTACCTGAGACTGCCGACTACCTGTCCCCATTCACAGCTGGGCAGGGCCTCAAAGGTTATTGTGTCAATAACCCTGGATTTGTTGGTCTCCTGGTGCCTGAAATTTCTTCCTTTTCTTTGTTTTCCTACTCACTAGAAAACTGTGATAGTACCTCTGTGTTAGCTGAGGGGGTCTTCCTTGCCTGAAGCCTCTGGTAAGCAGCATGCTGAATTAATGGAACCCAGTCAAGATCTGAAACAGCAGCTGACCTAAACAGAGCCTCGAAGAATGACAGCGTGCAGGGTTATACGTAAGGAAGCATTCGTGTAGGGGTACAGTACCGTGATTACGGACCTGACATTATTGTGTTGAGTATATGGCAGCTCCCTGGAATCGCAACTTTTTTAGAGTCATAGGAACAAAAGGCCAGACGGGAAACTGTCAGCAAGAAATTAACTTCTGACAAATTATCCCCTAAATGTCAGTGTCCAAAATCAAGAAGAAAAACACACTTTTACAATATTTAGGTTGAATCTAATCCAATGTTACTTTATGGTATTTGGTAGGACACCGGCCTTTGTTAAATAGGATTGGATTCTCCCTTAATCTCAGTCATACACAGTAGTTTTTGGAGACAAAAGAGCCTGACTCCAAAATAGTTCTTCTATTTACTTGCTTAGAGCAATTCTGTGCCCTAGATTCTTCACTTACGAAACAAGAGAGTTGGACTCAGTGTTCTCTGAGATCCTGCCCAAACTCCAGAAGCCTGTAAGACCCCTGAAGTTACGCGTTTCTCTCCAATTTTCACCACCTATAGCCTACTTCAGTTAAAAACCTAACTTCTTGCTCCAAACTTTCTCAGTCCTCTGGGAGAGTGAGTTCTGATCGATTAATAAATGTAAAATCAGTGTAGCTTGGTCTACAAATCTGAATGGCATCTGCTTGTTGTTCTTAATTTAATGGCAGTAGAGGACAGTGGTCACCAACATGGACTTTGAAGCCAGGGTGCCTGCTTGGGTTTGAATCCAGCTCTGCTACTTTCGAGCTGTGTGGTCTTGGGCAAGTTACTTAACCTTTCTGTGCTTCGGTTTTCCCATCTGTTAAATGGGTATAATAATAGTGCTTACTTCATAGGATGGTGGAGAGGATTAAATGAGTTCATATAGGTACAAATGGCTCAGATCAGTGCCATTCAGACACGTGGTAAACACATGCAGGTGCTAGCTATTGTCACTGTTTTTATAAATACAGAGACAGAGAGAGAATTTGTTGGGCCATTATTACAGGCATTGTATTTGTACTCTTTCCTTTTTTTTTTTCTGAGACAGAGTCTTGCTCTGTCACCCAGACTAGAGTGCAGTGGCACGATCATGGCTCACTGCAGCCTCAACCTCCTAGGCTCAAGTGATCCTTCCAACTCAGCCTCCCGAGCAGCCAGGACTACATGTGTACGCCACCATGCCTGGCTGATTTTTTTTCCTTTTTGTGGAGATGGGGTCTTGACAGGTTGCCAGGCCAGCCTCAAACACCTGGGCTCAAGCGATTCTCACACTTTGGCCTCCCAAAGTGCTGGGATTACAGGTGTGAGCCACTGTACCTGGCCTGTACTATCTTATAAAATGCTCACGGTAGCCTTTGAGGTAGGTGATATTTTCCTCCCCAGTTTGTAAGTTAAACAAATTAATCTTGCCCAGATCACACAGGATTCACATGTGGGCAGGGACTCCAGAGTCCCCCATACGTCTACTACTAAGTTATGTGGCTGCAAACGGAACATCCTCTGCGGTTCTCATGGAGCTCCCTCTACCAGGAGGGACAGAGGCTCCGCAATAAACTAACCGCAGATACTCTTCAGACTTTATTTCTTACGGGGGTGGGTATAAAATAGTTGACTGTTAAATTCAACAATATGCCTCAAAACACATTTACCATTAATGGTATATATACCATTAAAGCCAAGAGTATGAGGTACTGACCACAGGATATTAAAGTGCGTCTGCACCAGATCAAAGGTGCAGGAGGGGCGAGTGGCGCGGGATCATGCGGGGTGCTTCCCACTTACCTCCCAGCCCACGATGGACATCTGCCAGCGAGCTATCTTGTCGATGCTCTCCAGCTTGCGCTTGCGCTCATTGATCAGACAGGCCACATTCTTCATGGCCTCATACGCTGCCTTTATGTTGCTGTAATCACTGCAAGATGGGAGGATAATTTTCATCACACAACATGCACCTTACAAAGAAGGACTGGCAAAATAACCCACTGGGGCGCTTCTTCATATACAAATGCTCTAGACAAAGTGACATTTACATCGTAGCCGCTGTTTCCCTTTCTTGTTCCCCTGTGAATAGACTACAGTCTGCATAGGTTAAGGGAGCTGACGCAATGCAATTCGGAATTCTTTGGAATAAAAATGTTTTCACTCATTTCCCAGAAATCACAATGAATGACAGTGAATGCCACAAATAAATGTTAGTCACGGTGACAATGGGTGACTTTCATTAATACAGAGAGAACAGTCTTTATCACGGCTCTGATTCTCACACAACCACTCTTGCTATATAAAGTACTTTAAAAATCACTAACCATTTTCAAAAGTGACTGTGTGCTCTGAGTCTTCATCTTTTATGCTGTTCGGGAAAGGACAGGAGAGGACAAGCGCCTGAAGTGGTGAGTTACGGAAATGGCAGTATGGCATTCGCCTCACCAACAGATCTTCCTTTCTGGTGCTTTCCGTCCACCACAGTGACGTCAAGCTAAAATGTTCTCCCCAGGAGGTCCCCGCTCCCAAGCCCACTAAAACTGTAGGCACCGGAAAAGCAGAAACTACAGTTTTAATCTACACACAGGCTAGCACAGAGCACGTCCAGTATCTGCAAGCTTCCCATTCAGGTTTTGCTCAGCGTTAATAATGCGGGGCCAGGGAGACCAACCATCCAGCTAATGAGCTGTATTTTCCACTTTCCCATGGCAACTTACAAGACAGACAGGGCCGCTCATCACAGGCGGAATGAGTTAGAATCCTGCACAGCCATGGGAACGCCTTGAAAGCAGATTCTATTGTCTATTTACCAAACACAGTTCAACCCAGCTCCTGGGAAGTCCCCAGACGCTGCCCACCGAGCAGACCCTGCCATCTTCAGAGAGGCCCATTCACACTCAGAAGCGGGGCAGAGGGCAGGAGCAAGAATGACACCAGGGGCTGCCAAAATAATGGGCACAGAGCCCCCAAAGAGGCCTCCAGCCATGAAGAAAGGGTGCAAAATCAGTTTTTCTGGACAAAACTGAATTGCAATGGTTTTTTAAAAATAATTTTTGCTTTGTTTTACTTAAGACTAGGAAATGGGACTTTCTGTCATGTTGACTAATTTTTATTTTGAAAAAACCAAAATCTGCAAATGTTCTTGGTGAAAAATGCCCTTAAAGGAAGAGAATCAACTACTGAAGAGTGAAGTATGGACTTCTGGAGCCCGCTTTCCCATCTCAGAATGTACTAAGCTGCCTGCCCACATCTTCCAAGAAGTCTTTGCTTCTTACCTTTCCTATTGTCTTTGGTTCTGGCTCCTCATCATGCCGTCCAGACATTTTCTTAAAAATGTCTTTGAAAATATGTAGAACATATTTACAATCACAATTTTTTTTTCTTCAATTTTGTGGCTTTCTTGACTTCCCTGTTTTTTTTTTCTACTGACCTTTTCTGATTTCTCCATCAGAAAAAGAAAAAAATATACAGCTCTCTCTTATCTATCTCAATGAACTCCTTTTTCTAATTCCTTTAGTCCTAACTCTTTAGCTAACACCCATATCTAGTGTCTATTGTTCAGTGACCTGCTCTTATTCTTTACTTTCCAATCTAATTGTAAGAAGGTTCCCCCTGCACCACCCCCTCTTTTTTTTTTTTTTTGGTGGTGACAAAGTCTTGCTCTGTCGCCCAGGTTGGAGTGCAATGGTGTGATCTCAGCTCACTACAACCTCTGCCTCCCGGGTTCAAGCGATTCTCATGCCTCAGCCTCCCGAGTAGCTAGGATTACAGGTGCCCGTCACCATGCCCAGCTAATTTTTGCATTTTAGTAGAGATGGGATTTCACCATGCTGGCCAGGCTGGTCTCAAACTCCTGATCTCAGGTGATCCAGCCGCCTCAGTCTCCCAAAGTGGTGGGATTACAGATGTAAGCCACGGCGCCCGGCCAGAAAATTCCCTTTTTAAGTCTGTCTCTCCACAGGAGTTCAGAGGCAGAGAGTACAAAAGAATAATGATTCACTCTCCACTCCCTGCAGGGAGATATTTAGCTGCTAAACCCAGAACTGTTGTGGTTTGCCACAGAAGTTTCCTCCTGGCACAATCCCTTCCGTCTTCCTCTTCTCATCAGGACCCTTTGAGATGACCCGCTCCAGAGCTGCAGGTGCAGTTAAAAAACCTTGTGTCAGGGGCATGGACCTTGTTTCGATTCTCACCTAAAAGAGTCAGCTTTAGCCTAGACCCTTGTGCCCCTGGGTAGCCTGGCTTGAAGCCTGGCCCACAGCAGTTGTCCTATGACTATCATGTCCCTGCTGGCCAGGTGACAACTCAGAATGAGCCAAGCACTGCTACCCTGAGGTACCAAACAGCTGGGTGTGCTGTGATGACATCTTCCCGTGGCATGGAGAACGGGCATGCACATTCCCAGGCTGAATGGATGACATGCCTAATGTACAGCCACACAAAGCCTTCTGTGCATGCACGAAATGATGGTTGGCTATTAAGGAAACAAAGGGTAACTTCTGGCTCCCCCAGAAGAGATCATATGGCTAGGGAACAAGGGCCTGAGAGGAATTCAGAAACAATCAAGGCAGATGATAAAGACAGAATGTGTATGTTGTTGCTTTTTGTTCAGGAGAAGCTGAGATTCAAACAAGAGAAGGGTGAGTAACAAGAAGAGCTTAGTCAGGCACCAAGGAAGCTCAAAGGGAGACGCAGCATTCAGGTAAGCGTGGAAGCAAGCCCTGTGCTTCCAGCAGGAGGGAACAGGGAAAAGACCAGAGAGTCGGCACCCTGGTGCGTAGGAACGGCTCAGGGCCCAGCAGGTGCCCAGTGCCCTGGTCTTCTCAGCCGCCCCATATGGATTCGCACCCCTGACAATCCACACCCTTTTACAGTTCAAGCTTGTGTGTGCCCTCAGCCCTTCTATGTTGCTAAGTAGAGACTGCTTAACAACAAGTCGCTTAGGTAAGTCACCATCAAGTAACGTTTCTGCCATCAAGAATCCTGCTCTGAGCTGAGCTGCGTCAGCCTCAGGGGCACAGGACAGAACGAGAGTCATGGCTGTCCGTTCACACTGGTCTGTTTCCCTCAGAAACGGTCTTTACTAACCACTGAGTACTCAAAGGCACGTTTATAAAATACAGGTAAGCAACATAAGGAGTAACAAAACAACAAAAGCCCCCGTACACTCATGGCACAGCTCACGGACGACCCTTGCGTCGTCACAGCTCTAGGAGTGGATATTCTGGAGCCTCTTCAATCACGCTACTTCAAGAGTTAATTGCACACATTCTAAACGGTCTGAAAACTTCTCCCACAAAGCGCCCAAAGTGTTAAGGCTGCCACTGAAGCCCCCCTATCACTGCTGGGGGTGAAGAGCTGCCTGCAGGTAAGGGCAGCAGCACCCTCACCCGCCCCCCTCACCCGTGCCCCTCACCCACCCCTCACCCGCGCCCCTCACCCGTGCTCCTGTGTGGTGTACTTGAGCAGCTCGGCCAGCTGCAGCGGGTATTTGCAGATCTTCTGCACCGGTGTGAGCAGGAACCCGTCGATGGCGATGTCAATCATCTGCTGCAGCAGGCGGCAGGCTTCGAAGAAATGTCTGTACTTGCCCTGCTTCATGAGGTTGGCGAGCTCCAGGCAGGCGCCCGGGTGGTTGTTGCAGTACTCGGAGTAGATGGCAAAGCCCTCTTGCTGGGAAGGAAAAGCACAGCTTCATCAGCTTCTGGGGTGCCTCTGGGGCATCATCCCAGCCCTCTCTAAGGGACACTCCTAGAAAGGAGGAAGATGGACGACTGCAAGAAGGACAGGGCATGAAATCCGCTGGCGCCCGAGCTGTCCTGCCACGGTTTCCACAAGTGTTATCTGGTCGGCAGGAAGGGGTGCTTCGGCAGGCTCCTGAGGCGGTTGGGGACGAGGCTGCCCTGGGACTCAGCACCCTGGTCTCCTTCTAGCCTCGCTCGCACTCATCCTGGCAGGTGGGTAGCAGGGCCTCTAACGTCCCCCTCCCGCAAATTTTTTCAACTCAGCTGAAAATCATGTATGCAGTTTTGATGGTTGCTTCTTCTTTGCGGTTTAAAACTAGTCTTGTCAGGTTTTCCTCAAAAATGCCCATTTCAACACACCTCTCTTCCCATTTCTCTGCTGTCACCCTGGCTGGGCCCGCCACGACCCCTTCCCTGGTGGTAGCAGTACTCCCCCGTCCTCACTGTGGGACTTACCTTCCTCAGGCCACCACCCGGCCTCCAGCCTGTCCTAAGGTGGCTCCTGCAGGAACCTTCTGCACAGGCCACACAAGGAGGCCTGTGACAATGTCCCAAATATGCCCAGGTCACACATGGGGCCCAGCCTCCAGCTGACTGACTTAACACAAAATCATTACGCCCAGCCACTTAAAATCTATCTGCCCCAGAGGACTCTAGACAGCTACTGAGCCCAGCACCCAGGAAGCGAAGGTGTGGTGGGGCTGTCGTTGTTGTTATTATTACTCTTACCGTTCCTTAGCTATTCGGGCTGGGACGAAAATCTTCCTCTGAAATCTTCTAGCAGTAAGTAGTAATGGCCAATCATAAGTTAAAAAATGATAAATGCATGTTATCACAGGAAGGTTCTGAGGCAGTTACAGTATCACAAGCACGTGTCCTGGAGCCACATGCCCGGGTCTGCCTTCACAGCTGCCTCTTACTGGTACGTGGCCTTGGGTTACTTACTCTCTGGGCCTCAGTTTCCTCAACTAGAAAGTGAGAGATAATCATATCCACCTCATAGCAATACACAAGCCAATATTAGAAAACCTTGGAAACAGTGCCTGAAATGTAACAGACACTTACTGGATATTACTAGGAAGGAGTCCATAGTTCTTACGGCATAACCCTCAGAAATTTTTAAAAAGTAATTACTCCAGATGTAACCCCCTAATTCCAGACTACATAAAAGGGTTTTGAAAAAATGAATTTGGGACATTTAGACAAGATTATACAGATTTCGTTTATATGATAAGCATGTAAGATAGAAGAAACATCTTTCTATGGAAGATTCATCTAGCAAACAAACAATAAAGCTAAAGAGACTCCTGTTGTTCGTGGAGATGCACGTCAAAATTATGTAACCAGATGTTATTAATAATGAAGTAAAGGGTGACGCACATTTTGAAGAAAGCAAGATCCTATTTCACTCAAGTGAGGTTCCTCTTTGTTGTACTGTTTCTCAAGGTCTTTCAGAAACTTTCTCTGGAATTTGTAAATATCTTCAATGTTTCCAAAAATAGTGGCTAGCTGCGCAACAGTGAACATTCCTGTGTGCTTGCGGCACTGTCGGAGATAGCCCTGCAAAATACAGAAGCAATGGTTTTCATTTGGAAATCCAAATAAATTATTTGACTAGTACAGCTTTTGTAGGCCTAAAAACCATGATCTTGGAATGAATTTTAATTAAAGAAAATTATTTTAACCGCTATGAGTCTCTGATGAGGTCATCGTACTTCCATGACTGCAACTTGCCATAGGTGTTTTAAAATTAAAAGAAAGCAAAAAGGCTCATGCCGTTGGATTTAGGATCCAATAAACCATGTAATGTTTCCAGAAACAAGTTTCAAATACCAGAGCTCAAAAATTGGTGTCGTCACATGTTTTTCCAAACTCTTCAGATAATCATTCTCCCAACCCTAATTCCATTTCACAGCCTAGGTGACTTGTCAAATGCAGAATGTCACTGCTTGCTGAATAGCCCACGCAGCTCTGTGCACTGTCCATCAGGGCAAGGATTCCTCTTACTCGAGGATTCCACCAGCACCGCCTTTCTATGGCCAGCACCAATCTGTAGGTCTTTAATCTGAGGCTTGCACTAATTATCTATGTGCAACACCATGGCTACACTATGGCTTGGGTAGGAGCTAGTGGGGTAAGAGGAAAAGGCTGTACATACATGTAGCAGCTAACTCAAAAAGAGTTATCATGACATTCAATAGAATGAACTGACCATGGAGTACAACACATACCAATGACTACTTGGTATGAATTTTAACAGGAAAACAATATAATGTAATAGTTCAGAAAAGGACAGGTTCTGGGGCAGACTGCCTGGGTTTAAATCCAACCCCACCACTTAACTTCTCTGTGCCTTGGTCTCCCCATCTGCAATGCGGGTTAACAGGACCTGCCCAGTGAGAATGCTGTGGTAGCCGAGTTAATCCAGGTAAGGGGTGGCAACAGTCAATGCTCAATAATCATGGGCAGTTCCTCTTATTTCCCTAAATACCACCGCAGAACTGCTTCTTTCGCCACACACTCACACAGAATGAGATGGCTGGCACAAAGAAGCTAAACACTGGCCTGTCCACACGGCTGGCGAATCTGATGAGAGAACGGGCAGTTCTCTGACTTCACCTTGTCTTCAGCACGGAATGGTCAGCGTTGAATGGATAGTGCAGATATCAGCATTTATAGCTAGAAGAGCCACAACGAGCAGACAGGGCGAACAGCAGTGTAGTGTGATGCTCGTACACAATCCATAAAAGCACAAAATACCACAGGAAGACAAAGTTCAGGTGCACCTCTCCTAATGACAAGCTCTCTGAAATCAGGATAAGACTACAAAATAAAATTTGTTGCCAAGTAGAATAGCATGACACTAGACTATAGCCTCTGATATCACCAATATAAAACTCGCATTTTTTCCCATCTGTGTCTAAATGACTCAGGGTCTCATCTGTGAGTTGGTGATTAGATGCAGTGGGTTGCAGAGAGTAACAAACCTTTGACTCTTGGTAAAATCAAGTGAGCATGTGCGTTCTATGAAAGCCATTCTTTTCAAATAATCTCAGGAATTAGGTCCTGACAGAGATAGTTGCAGAGTGCACTTAAGAGAGGGGCTGGGCACACTGGCTCACGCCTCTAATCCCAGCACTTTGAGAAACCAAGGCAGGAAAATTGCTTCAGTCCATGAGTTCGTGACCAGCCTCGACAACACAGTGAGACCCTGTCTGTATATAAAATTTAGAAAATTAGCTGGGTGTGGTGATGCATGCCTGTAGTCCTAGCTACTCAGGAGGCTGAGGAGCGAGGATTGCTTAAAGCCCAGGAGTTTGAGGCTGCAGTGAGCTATGATCATGCCACTGTACTCCAATCTAGGTGACAGGGCAAGACCCTATCTCTAAGAAAAGCCTTGCCTCTGAAAAGAGACCCTGACTCTAAAAAACCTCCAGCAACAGCTAGGACAGCCGCAGCACTCAGACTTAGCAGTGCAGACAGCAGGGGCGGAGAAACGAGCAGTGGGTAAGTGTGTACATGTGGGAGTCTGATGGAGGGGTAGGGGGTGGAGGTGGGGAGAAAGCCCAGGCACCTCATGCAACCTCGTACTGTGACCCTCAGTGAGGTCCCAGCCTGGCATCCCACCTCGCAGATGTCCCTGAGGTGTTTGATGTACACCCGCTCAGTGTCCATGATCTCCCGGATGACGTTGGTCCGCATCTGCTGCTTGTTCTCGCAGTGTCTGTGGCGGCTCTGGCTGGCCTCCTCGTCCTGCTCCTCACTGCGGGTGCTGATGGAGTTCTCTGACAGCTCTTCCTGATTCACTCGCAACTGCAACCCACACACGGGGGACAGGTGACTTGGGGCAAGGGAGGGCAGCACGGAACAGAGGCAGGAGACCTCCCAGGTTCCTACTTTCCTGTGACCTGTTGAGAAGGCGGCCTGGCCCTCGCCTGAGTCTCATGGCCTCAGCAGGGCTGCAGCTGCGCCAGCAGGCACAAGGACCACAGAGAAACACCGAGCAACTCGCTTGCCTTCCGTTAACATTTTGGCTGCGACCCAGCCTGATTTCTTACAGGTGTGACTTGCATGTCAGCTAACCATTACAAAAGAGCTGACCTGATGAAAGGCGAGTTCTGACCCGAAAGGATCCTGCAGCCCCCACAGACACTTTGGAAAAGCTGCAAGCGCCCCACGCTTACTCTGACGAAGCTCGCGGGGAACAAGCGCCCCCCTACTTACTCTGACGAAGCTGCAAGCGCCCTGCACTTACTCTGACGAAGCTGCAAGCGCCCTGCACTTACTCTGACGAAGCTGCAAGCGCCCCGCACTTACTCTGACAAAGCTCGCGGGGAACCAGGCCTCCTTGTCCTCACTGCGGCCCCACCACCAGTCCTTGTTGGAAGCTTCCAGAACCTGGATGACATCCCCGGCTTTGAAGCCCAGTTCCTGGTCGTCCATGGTCACATGGTCCCACAGGGCTTCTGCGCAGACCACGTTGCCATCACTGATCAGCTGAAAGGAGACAGTGGGGTGTGCTCAGCATAGAGCACGCGTGGGCGGGAGGGTGAGGGAGCTGCTAGGTGCACTCTCAGGGTGACACTGGTATCCTCTCACTTGGATATGCTGGTGGCATTTGGTCCACACTGACTATGTGACTAGTTACACAAAGAGAACCCAGGAGAACAGACTGGGGAAAAACAAAGTCAGGAGGGGCATCTCTACCTGCTTTTAAAGAAAGCCCTTATACTGGGCGTGGTGGCTCACACCTATAATCCCAGCACTTTGGGAGGCCGAGGCAGGTGGATCACCTGAGGTCAAGAATTCAAGACCAGCCCAACCAAGA